TTGTTTGTTTGTTTTTTAAACTGGTCATTTTTATAAATCGTTTGAGTTTGTTCTTTAAGAATTTTTCTGTCTTGAGGCATAGATTATAATAATGTTTTTATCAGCTTAAGTTTACTAAAGCTTCTCTCGCCAGCGGCTACAGTTATAGGTGCTACCCATAGATTTGGCATGACATTTTGACATCATATAACTTACTAGTGTTTGTGAATTTAGCGCATTCTGTTGGAATCACGAGGAAACACTTATTTGGCTTTTATATACCTTAGTCAACAGATCAAATCCATTTATGTATATCCGTATTTTCCTGATACCTCAACTTATTCCCCAAATCTTGACATTCTGCTTTGAGTTTATTTTAGGTCATTAAAAACTCACTACCACTACTATTACTACTATTCTGTATGTTATCAAAACTTTGCAAATCTCCCTGATAAAGAATTTATATAGCTATGCCCATTATTATTAAAATTATATTGAATTGTTTTTTTCTTNATCACAACCACCCTACCCCAAACCCTCCAAAAAAAAAAAAAAAAAAAAAAAATAAAAAAAAAAAAAAAAAAAAAAAAATTCTACTTTATAAAAAAAAAAAAAAAAAAATTCAAATAATATTACAAAAAAAAAAAAAAAAAAAAAAAAATTAAAAAAAACAACAAAAAAAACGATCTTCTACTTGTGAAGTTGTGATACAAGTATTTCCGATTCATGTCGCACTACAACAAGATCAGACTCAGACATTACTGGAAGCTTATTAAAGTAAAGAGCTCCAATTCCCGCCATTTTATATTTAGTGGCTTTGACACATTCAATTCTGCACTGACATCTAGTCTCACATTCATTTTAGGTTTTGTAGTGAGACGGTTTTAAGGTGTTTTTTTTCAATCCACATGCCATCATCCAGGAGAGGCAGGAACAAGAAAGAAAACACATGCATTGGTGGACAGCATCATCCACATGACATATTCTGGTTCTGGTAGGGTACGTTGCTGAATCCATGTACTGGCAAAAGTGCAACGGTTGGGGAACCGATGTTGATGGTCTCGAAACGGCTCCTACCGGATGCCAAGGCAGCCTTGACCAGATGGTTACAAGCGATTATTGTGCGTGGGAAAAATGATTGTTTATATTCGGTACCGGCTACCGGTATTGGACTGTGTTACACCGAGGCACAGTGAAGAATTTACTATTGTTCCGGATATAATTATTGCTTATGACATGAGGTTGTTAGAGGTGAAGTCGGTGTTTAGTGAGCGTTTGGCTCTGATTATGATTAAGTCCCATTCAGTGTTCAGCACCCAGTCGTTGGCTTCGTCGCCTGGGAAGGAGACCGTTTTGCGAAACGTTGAACCTTCCCCAAATATTTTATTATTTCGAGCAAAACAGGGACGTTTTAACTCAACGCTATCTGAAGGGAATGGACAAAGTGGACGCCACGAAATCAGGACCCTCTCATTGTTTGAGCTTTACAAACTTTGGTTAGAGTGTTTATTACGTCTAGCCTATACAAATAACACAATCATTTAACGTGTCTCGCGATTGTGTTCAGATACTTGTTTCAATGTGTTATTTCTTGGTACAAAAATACAATCATTTGTTTCAATATCTTAATATTATTGGTCCAAAAGTTGTTAATCTTGATCCCAAATGCAGTACTGTACCAGTACCGGTATATTAAAATTAATGAACATTAGAGTAATTGTATATTATTTATTGTATTTTATTATTAGTATTACACTGTCTGTACCATAATCATTTCTTAACTTCATTATTTTGCATGACTATTAGTAGTACCGGTACTAACTTGTTTTAATCAAATTTTGTGTATAATCAGCTAATTGCAATATAGGCCTACTAAAAGTGTATAAGAATAGAACAGTACCATAATTAATCTGTCCACACATTGATTACCGTAGATGAAAAGTTGTATTTATTTTCTTTTGAAAATGAATTATAAAATATAATTAAAATTGTGAGAACAATTAATTTCTAATTAATTTTAAACAGATAGCTATACTATAATATAAATATAATGTACAGAATTTGTTTAATTTCACTAGAATTACCGGTAGTAAAAATTAAGTTTAAGTGGTCAATGTGTGCATAAAAAATACTGTTAGGAAGAAGCTGCGTACATTTTGTAGCTAATGTTTGTAAATTATTTAATTTGTAATTCACAATCATCAAATAAATCTTTAATATTTTTAATATATCTACCGTATTTATCGGCGTATAACACGCACTTTTCTCCCTGAAAAAAGGGAGGCAAATGATGTGTGCGTGTTATACGCCGATATAATGTTAAGGACCCTTAGTACATACCACATGGGGGCGCGAATGGTGCGTGTTATACGCCGATAAATACGGTATATATACAGGTAGCTAGGGTCTTTGTTATACAGTATGGTAACAATAAAAGTACCGTAACAATAAAGCATTGTCAGAGTTATTGCAGAGCAGAACAATGATTGTTAACATTACCATACTTTATTGTTACCGTTATTTATTACGGTACCGGTATATCACAAGTCTGCACTGAGTGGTACCTTGAACTCAAACGTGTAGTCCATAGATATGAATATTAAGGTCCTGCAGACTAATGACAAAGTTTAGATCTTGAGCAGTCTGCCTTGATGAGCTTTAGTTTGAATGAAACTGATTCAAAATTAAGTAAGGGTATACTGCTTAGTTGTTAAACTATTTTGACATCCATTTTGGGGCAACCAAGTTATGTTACAGACTGCTCACCAAGACGAGTTTGCAAAAATGGACTGCTCACCAAAATGAGTTTTGTAAACATGGACTGCTCACCATGAGATTTATATATATGGACTGCTCACCATAATGAGTCTTGTAATTATGGACTGCTCACCATAATGATAGTGATTTTTGTAAATATGGACTCTTCATCGTGAGTTTTGTAATTATGGACTGCTCACCATAATGATAGTGATTTTTGTAAATATGGACTCTTCATCATGAGTTTTGTAAATATGGACTTTTCTCCATGAGATTTTTAAATAAGGACTGCTCACATAATGAGATTTTTAAATAACTATGTCAAGATTTGTCACATAAAAATTATTAAAAAAGAAGCACATGTATTAAAAGAAAGAACTCTTTCATTTTTAAAATAAAATGATGTTTAACTTTATTACATATTTACATAAGCAGACCAAAAACTCCTCGCCATGGCTCAGATAAGATATATCTTGTTACAAGGTATTTAATACTTAATACTGAATGAATATAAAACAATGGCATATACCGTACATGTAACAATGGGCAGGGGTGGTTAAATGGCTATGCTAGCTGAAGAGGCAGAGCTAAACACAAAACACCATTTTACGCCATCTAGATAATAATTTTATATGGCCAATGCTGGTATTGAGAATAGATCCCATGCATAATTGAGGTCTATTTTGATAAACAAGCTGCCAGTACATTCATTTAATGTTTAATAACAGACAAGTTATGTTAAATAATTATGCTTCTTGGCAAAATATTTATGCAATATTATTTTCTATTAAAATTAATTGACTATCATTCTATTTCCTGATGAAAGCATTACCAATTATAACATTTTATTTTAAGTTACAATGTTGTTTATAGCTATCATTCTGATCAATGTATTAGCAAAACAAGTTCATTCAAATACTTCCTTGCAAAACTTGAAAATGGAATGTCTAGATAAGGGGTGTAATAAATTAAATTTTGCATAGCCAAATCTTTTTCCGCAACATTTTAGGGAAGACTAAAATCATGTAAGAGGATCACAAGCTTAAAAAATTCATTTCATTCTTACAATTTATCTTGACATAATAATTTTTGTTAACAGGTGTAGTGCAAAGTTATGCATGCCAATAATAAACACGTTTTTAAGAAAATCCGGACAGCAATGTCATAATTCTAAAGTAAATTCTAGGGTTCAATTGAAATAAATCAGTTAGGATTTGTGAGACTATCAAGTACAATTAGGTACACATATCTAAGCTGCAGTGTTGCCAACTAATTTTTTTTTGTTAATGCTTTACATACCAGTATCAAAAACTCATTAACGCCATAATTAACAGAATACACATTAAAAAAGTACACATTTTTTTCAGTCTTGCAGTGGAAAAAATGGTTTAAACCAAGGTCTAACTAATACGGTCAAGGCCCCATTGGAGGGGGGGGGGGGAGTCTTTATTAAAAAAAAATTCACATCTTTTCATCTCATGAAATAGGTGCCACAGTCTTTTAAATGGCTCTAAGGAAAGAGGAGGCTGTGCTGCTTCCCAACTGGATACACCAAAAAGAATTCTTCTTGTTATGTACCGGTGATGTAATTTGCATCTATGGTAATACTTAGTAAAAGACGTGCAATTATAATTATATATACTAAAGATATATACTTATACATCTACACAAATATATATTTCATTACTTCTTCTACCTTCTTGGGAATTTATTTCACTTCATTGGTCTGTACTCTTTGGCATCCTAGACAACATCTCTGGATTATTTAAATGAAAATAGCTTAAAATTTTAAGTCATTTGGAAGATGTGCCAACAATTTCAAATTGACACAATAGTCTCAGCCTAGGGGAAGGTAACAATATATCTAAAAAATGATAGAGTTAAACATTACATAGATTGATTCTATCATCCCCTAAAACCTTCAATGCTAAGTGAATAGAAGAACAAATAAATATACATGGCTTACCTAGGGTCTTGCAAAAATCTGATCTGGTACTGAACTAATTCTATAAAAAAAACACTAAGATCAAGAATTACATATAAGCTCTAGATAGCATTTCTTGACAAACAAATATAAAAAATAAAATCCAGATCAGCATGTAAAAAATCTAACATGGCAACACTGCTTAGCTATAGATATACTTCACCATTTCCTCAAATATGCCATCTGATTTCTTGCAGTGGGGGCATTGCTTCCATTCCAAATCAGTTCATTAATGGTGGAATCTGAAAATTCAAAAGCAAATTATATACCCCCCCCCTCCCCCCCCGCTCCTATAATCCAACAACACTGAGGGATTTCCACCAACCTTCTTTTGAAATTATGTCGTAAGCATGATAAAAAAATTGGTGATAAAATTTGTAAAATATAAAAACTGATATATCATGGATAGAAATAATTAAAAGCCAATTAGTTTGCCACAAATTTAGAACAAATAGCTTAAGGTTGTTGAAATTTCATTGTAAAAATCTTTGGTTTGCAACAAATCTAAACAAAATACTTCAATTGTACTGGTCATTGCCAAAATGTCACAACAAAGATTTTTGTTCACCACAAGAGAAACAGTAATCAATTTATTTTTCTTTACTTGTTTTAATATAAAATTTTACTGCTGCTTATTAATCAAAACAGTTGTTTTTTTTTTAATGGTGAAAGTCTTTATGTTGACATGCATGGCTCACTGTACCTACCATTCCTCCACATTTCCTCTTCTCCACCCACTTACACCCCCTTTACACCAACTGACTGAAGACATGACAGGACCTGGTCATGCTTCACACTCCAACATTCTATTTCCTCAGAGTCCAAATGAGCTGTGTAACAAAAATATATGTGATGTTTAGATAGGAAAAGAGAAATTTTACACAATGATATAAACAGCCAATAAACAGCCAATAAATGCGACAGCCTATTACAATTTTTGATAATCTACCACTTGAGCATCGGTTATGAAAAAATCCCTATTGTTCCAGTTAGATGTGCTATTTAAACATTTATTCTTTTATTGATGTTCGTTAATAGTACAGTGGAGAGAGAGTGAGCACTGTTTTCTCCGTGAAGTGCAAAACCTTTGTTCGATCACTTTACAAGAGTGCATAGAGAGATATATCCTTAGAGGCCCATGTATAGTATTGGATTCAAGGAATGGATAAACCAGATCAGATACAGATTATCCTGTTGACGCCCATCAACAAAATTTTGTTGATCCAAATGATGCTGGTGTCCCCACACAGAATGCTGAAAATGTGGATGCCCACAATGCGCAATTTGAAAAGACAGTGTGGCATAATTTCATGTTCTGCTAAGGTTTTTGTGAAGATTTAGGCGTTTAAAACTTCATTGTTACCTTGGCAGAGAACTATGCATAATCTCAAACACTTTTTGTCTTTTCATTCATTAAATTGTTTAAATTTTTCTATTTAAATTTTTTTTTAAATTTTAAAAATGTTGTTTATATGTGCTCAAATGAATATGTATATTGTCATAAAAACATTTCTATCATTTTGGATGAATAGAAATTTTTTTCATCTTATTCTTATCAATAAAACAACCTTTTAAATAGCACTTCTAGCTGGAACAACAGGATTTTTTCATAACTGAAGCTCAAGTGGTAGATCACCCAATTTTTTTCATCCCATTTTTAAAAAGTTTATGCAACTTTGTTGGGGCTTCTTTTTTCCAATGCACCATTTGAACTCAAGTGACAATAAATACTGTGCATTTGGTTTAGTACAGGATTCTAAGAAATAGAGCAAATTGTGTCAAATATAATTTGTGAAGATATTAATTAAACTATTTGATGATTATCTATACAATAATACAACAATTTAGGTTGGTACAGAGTTATAAAACAGTTGAGGATATTCAGGATGAAAAAAATAATATATATACATATGTACATAAACATATACAACAATTTCCTCATCTTACCAAATTTAATCAAATTGCTGAAGCCCCACACAACTTTATATCGGGTAGAGGCATATTTGTAATTTCAACCTACTGGAACAATAAAAAGAATGAAGATGTACCTAAAGAGAATGTAAATTAGCTTCAGTAGTTTCAAACAATAACATTACAATTTAATCATGTTCGATCTCTTAAAGCCTAAGGAAAATTTAAATATTTACGATTTTAAATAATTACAGTATTACATGTATGAAAAAAAAAAATAGCTAGCCCCTTTTTCTCATAGGAATCAGCATATCTTTTTTTTATGAAACTCAATTTAAACAAAATGGCCATATTGACCGGCTGCCTTTTCTGCCCAACCTTAAATAATTTTAGGGCTTAGCAGAGTTTTAAAAGATCCTATATGAAAGGAAAGTTCAAATATTCTCTGTCAGTCACTGGAGATTGAATTATTTTTCCATATTGTCAATTGTACAGGATCATTGTTATGAAAAATGTACCCTTGAAATAACATGAGCATGGAATTTATATCAGGATGTTTATTTAGAAGTTGCCAAAAAAGTGGTTTTTGCCATTGATGAGCAGTGCGCACAGAATTCCAGGGAGGCCTGATTGCCGGAGACATGCAAGCATATGCCAGCCCTTTCATGTATGTTTGTAGTAGACATTCTTGACTGTTTTGAAGAAAGTTCATCATGAACATAATTGTGGTCAGTCTCTGCTTTACGTTTTCTCATTGATGAAGACAGCTTGACCTCTGTTACATTGCTGATATTTGCTAAAAGATTGGATAAAGCGCTTGCGTTCGCCAGTACAGATTTTAAATATTTTATTTCATCTGCTAAACTGGTATTTTCATTTTTCATTTGTGTATTTTCTGATTTAAGTCCTTCATTCTGGGTCTTTAGAACATCAATATCAATCTCCAAACTTTTAATATATGCTTTCTTTTTCTCACGGTTTAGCTTTGCCTGTTGCGCATTTTTCTTTGATCTTTCATCAAGAGCTTTCATTATTTCATCATTTGTTACGCCATTTGGGGGCTGAACATGGACAACTCTTAATTCTTTACATGATTTTAATTCACCATGGTTTTGTGAGCATTTCTTTTGTTGATGAACACGATTTAAATCATCTTCATCTAAGTTCATGTCCTCTGAATTTAAATCTTCATTCTCTGATTCACCAACATTATTAAGTGTTTTAGGAGATGGAGCCTTCTTACTTCTCAACACATTTAGAAACCTTCCATTTTCCATAGCACCATTACGAACACCATTACTACACACATGTTCATTGTTGTAAGCAGTGTTATTTTCATCAACCAGGAAACCTGTTAATGATCCAACACATTTACAATCTTCTACGATTGCTGTTAATGGTGTCTTAGGTTGTGGACTGCCAAGTGAACTAAGTGTTTCTGACATACCACTGTCACTTGTGTCGGACTCATGCCATGGAGATTTTGCTAGTAAACTTGTGATGCTTTTTTCTTTAGACTGAATATCCTCAGATGAAATAGATGCAGATGTTGTGGTTGTGAAGCCAGGTAGGGAGAGGTCTGTTTCTGTTATAAGGTTGTAAGAAGCCAGGTTGACATCATTCCCCTCTAAGAGATTATCCACATCAAATAGTGTGTTACTGTTACCAACTTCAAAATCGACACAAAAGCTATCAAAATAATCAAAATTGCCTAAATCCATTATTATGGTCACTCAAACTACTCTAATTTATTAGATGCAGTTTCACTCTAATTCTCTGAATAGTCTACTTAGACTTAGGTGTAGTTAAGTTAGGTCGTATCTTCAGTGATCCTATTATTATTATTATTACCGTTAGTATGCGTTAGTTTAGATCCGTTTAAAGATTTGTATGAACTATTATCATTATTAATTAAATAAATTGGATTTGCATGTAGGCCTATATAATTGACTCTTGAGGCAATTGTGAATTGAACTGTTGTACTTGTACTGATTCGAAGTCCAAATTGTAGGCTAGGCCTAGACTAGAGAGTCAGCAGAGGCTAGAATGTTGACCGACTTGACTGGCTTGAGAAATAATATTACATAAGAAGATTAGGTCAATTGATATTCTTACAGTATTGTATTGAAGCTCAATCCGTCCTCACATCAGAAATACACCACTTACAATAGACAAAATCATAATTTAATTGCAGGTGCAAAATTGCAGCACATAATTCAGGTAATTCCAGAGCAAATGACTTGGCCCTATGAGTGACAACAACAAATATGGTACTATTTGTCATGTATTCTTACGCCGCAAAAAACGTTGGAGTTACGAAAAGTAGTAGGCACTTTAGTACGATTTCATTGGGCCGCTCGATAAATTTAGAAGCATCAATGATGTCAGAGTTTTTTTAAGTAACACAGTAATTACACGTGACCAAAACGTACAGCTGACGTTAGCTAAATTACAATTAAAATATCCACAGAGTAATATAGTACCAACAATTTTGTTTTAATCTGGAAAGATTACAAAATTCTTTATAAGAAGTAATAGATATTGTAGGCCTACTTATTAAGAATTTTTTTTTAATTATTAAAAGTACTACCAGAGAAGGACAAAAAATAAACAGCGACCAGGGCAAGCATCCCCCCACCATCACCAACGAGAACGTAAACTGAACTGCCCCACTCTCGGAGAAAATGTGTGCAAAGATACAACAAAAATACATTTGTATTTTTTTAAAGAAAAATGTCATAGTCATTTATAAATTTTTTTAATAATAATATTAATTGGCGCCTTTTAACCAATTACAATCATAAAGAATCGCTACGATCAAATAAAACAGTAAAAATTAAAAACAATATAAAAAATTAAAATATACTTTAAGCTGCGATGCAGTATCCAAGAGATCAGCATAGGAGTGTTATTTTTATTTTATATTGTTTTTACTGTTGTTTTTTCGCCGCAGAAGCCTTCTTGTCGAAATGTTCGTTATTTTGTTGCCCTCTCTTTTACAGGGTTTCCCATAATTTTGTTTCGCTTATTTTCTTTTACCTAATCTGATAGTAGTCTCTGCCCCCCCCCCCTCCCCCAATTACCATTCATCACAAAAACATGACTTTTAAAGTATGGAAGGTGTTAATTATAAATTGTATGATGGCATATTGCTTTAAAAAATAACTATATAATTTTTTTATGTGCTTGATTCCATTAATATTGAGCTAGATAAAATAAAAACGTCTTATATTACAAGTAGTTAAATTCCCAAATGCTTTTATTTTAATACAAGAATAATAAACAATCTGCACCACCTTTTTGCGCGCATTAAAAATAATAATATGTGTATGTGAATCTGGTTAAACAAAAATATGTGTGTTATCGTGGCTTATTTTGGCTCTTCCCACCCGCAAGTCTGAAACACCTCATTCCAAAATTTCTGAAAGAAGCACCGAATTCATGTATGCGCCAAAATGCATCCCAGCATTTTGAATAGATCATAAATATTCTAAGGGGACCCTTGCCCCTGCATTTACTCGAGCGTCTTTCTGCTCACCCACTCCATCGCGTCAATCATCTTGTCATCTCTGCGCCCCCCCCCCCTTTTAGCGTCGAGGAGGAGCTCTATCCCCTGGCACGGGCCTGGGGAGGCTCTCACCAGACCCTTGCCAAAGGAGCTCTCTCTCTCTCTCTCTCTCTCGCTCTGTGTGTGTGTGTGTGTGTCGTATAGGAGGTGAACGAGGTGTATCATAGGTATAGGAAGAGGTATTGGTATAAGTAGAGTTATAGATATTGGTATATAAGGCGGAACATTATAGCTTTAGGCAGTGGTACATGAGGAGGTATTGGTCCCTATATGTAGTGGTACAGGAGGATGCATTGGTCCCTATAGGCAGTGGCACAGGAGGAGGTATTGGTCCCTATAGGTAGTGATACAGGAGGAGGTATAGGAAGAGCACGTTTGGGTATAGGTAGTGTTACAGAAGGAGAGATAGGAAGAGGTATATATATATTTAGAGAGATAGAGAGAATCAGTATAGCAAGAGGAATAGAGGTATAGATATATTTAGAGAGTGAGAAATCCATCGTGGAAGTCTGGGGGTGGGGGGTGACACCCTCAATTTACCGCACCGGGTGACACCAACCCTAGCGTTTAGGCTAGATGTCTTCTTCGTAAGACGATACAACAACACTATATATATATATATATATATATATATA